CCTTAACTGCATGAACACTGCTATGTCCGGGGATGATGTGAGTCAGTGCCCCGGTCTACACACATCGGCTGGTTTTCTATGTAAATATAAAGGCTAATCAGGAACACGAAACTTGCTCTACAGTTCGAGGAAACAATAGGTGGGATACCAGTTACACTTGAAAGGTCAATGTTATCAATTCTTAACGAAACAACCTAATGATGTACAAGTCTTTGTTCCACCCAAACTTGTCAGAAGTGAAGCTAAAATAGTACGACTTTAAAATTTTCCCATTCTCCATGGTTGGTTGGTTGGTTGGTTTGTTGTTTAACACCGCACTCAGCAAAATTCCAGCTATATGATGGCGGTCTGTAAATAATCGAGTCTAGACCAGACAATCCAGTGTTCTACATCATAAGCATCGATCCACGCAATTGGGATTGATGACATGTATCAACCAAGTCAGCGAGCCTGACCACCCGATCCCGTTAGTCGCCTTTTACGAAAAGCATAGTCACCTTTTACGGCAAGCATGGGTTGCTGAAGACCTATTCTACCCCTGAATCTTCACGGGTCCCATTCTCCATGTACCATAGTTTAGTCTCTGTAAATACTTTTGAAAAAAAACAAACAGGCAAATTGAAAAGGAGCCCCAGTGAGAAGGGAGATTCCAAACCTGTGGAAATCTATACCTGTTTTATGGAGGGCTGTGGTATTACAGTAAGGGATTGGGTGGAAGGGAAAATAGTATGGTTCAGGAACTGTGAGTGAGTATGGTTTTACGCTGCTTTTAGCAATATTCCAGCAATATCACGGCGGGGGACACCAGAAATGGGCTTCACACAATGTACCCATGTCGGGAATTGAACCCGGGTCTTCGGCGTGACAAGCGAACGCTTTAACCACTAGGCTACCCGATCGCCAGGAACTGTGCGACAGACAACAAGGACCAATCACTGTGGTGCTACAGCAAGGTTTGAAATTCCAATGCCAATCGCACAGTTAAAAGCCAATCTCATTAAACTTAAATGCTAGTGCTCGCTACCACTACTCAAAGATCTGAGGACATCCAATTACAGGTCACGTCAGAACAACCTTTTCATCCAACCAATCAGAGGTCACTTACGAGATTGCGACAGTGAAAGTCCGATAGAGCTATATAATCATGCAACCTTGAAAAGGTTAACACAGGGTATACCAAATGAAAGTTACTGGCTGTAACAACTGACTCTGAATGCCAAACATGGCCTATCTCTCGCTTCAATGGGATAAACATTTGAAATGGAAGACTTTGCGTAGCCAATGGGAAGTACTGCCATACGATCTCTGCCATCTATTAGACATTCCAGAATTTCAATAGTATTTCCAGTATGTCAATATATTAGCAAATATCGCTGTGGGCGCTTATTACGTCGAATACGGTATCTGTTTTAACATGACTGTTTTTGTATGCTTATATGTCGTATTGTCCTAGAACAATGTGGTTTGAAATAATATTTATTTATGCCTTGTAATGTTAATTTTGAGAAAATACATTCTTTCATTAAACAATGTAATGTAACACGTGGCTTGGGTGCCTTACAAGGAAAGAACATTCACTGGCTTAAACAATCACATTAAGATCAGATCTTGGTTCTGGCTACCACTAAACAAAGATCTGAGGACTCCCACATCCCAATGTCAGACCGATCTTTAAACAGACCAATCAGAGTTTCACTTACCAGATCAGGAAAGTGACAGTCGGAATATGATTTCCTAGGACAGGTCAGCCTGAGGTATTCTGAACAACAGTTACAGACTGTATGGCTGATTCAGTCAAAACTGTTGTCTATGTAACGCTTCAATGGGATATTCATTTGAATGCAAGAGACTTTGCATAGCCCATGGGAAGTACTGCCGTACGATCTCGGACATCTAGTAGACATTCCAGAATTTCCTTTTTTATTCAGGTTTCATTATTGAACTAATATATTTTCAAAGTATGGAATGGATGTTGCCATTTTGAAACTAGTGCCCATAAGCTCAAGAAAGCTGCTTTGCGATTGGCTAATGTCGACTTAAAGTAAGTCATTTCATTGGTCGTTCAAAGTTCATGAAAGGTCATACTGATGTGACCTATAATGAGATGTTCTGAGATCTATGAGAGCACTAGGAAATTAACACCTGTGAATAGGTCTTCAGCAACCCATGCTTGTCGTAAGAGCCGACTTACAGAATTGCTGACTCGGTTGATGCATGTCATCGTATCCCAATTGTGTGGATCAATGCTCATGATGTAGAACACTTAATTGTCTGGTCTAGACTCGATTATTTACAGACCGCTGTCATGTAGCCAGAATATTGCTGAGTACGGCGTTAAACAACAAACAAAACTAGGTAATAAGAGTCACTTAGGTTTAAACAAAACTTCCTCTGGACAAAAAATGTGAAACCAGTGAGAAATGTACTTCACACAACTTAACTGGACAAAAACAGAGAAAATGATGAACAAGTTCAATGAACAGATCGTCAAATAATTTGCACTTACAATTCCAAAGTTTTCACATAAACATCTTCATAAGGATTCAACAACAGGCGATCTGAACAATACGTAACTACTTGTTTTAGAACTTCATAAACTGACAAGAAAATATGCTGAAGTAATTTAGCAAAGAAACACATTGCTTCAGATTGCCCGGGGTCGGTGTCACAAATTCTTGAAAAAACTAACGTCTCCAATTATATTGGTCCCCAGGCACGATAAATCTGAGATCCAGCTCATCAGACTCACAGTAATTGGTCTCTGGAGCCAGCCATATTCACTGACCAAAGAGACAATTATTTGCTGTTGTGATCAGAAATGTGTTTTCTTGTCAACAAAACAGAGTGAAGTCTTTTTTATCTGGTGGGTTCACTGCTTTGCCAAATAATTTCAGATTACAGGTGAGGTGAAATGGGGTTTAACGTCGCGTCCAAGATTTTTGCACTTATATAGCGACGTGCATGTACGTGTGTGTGTTTATGTGGCTGCTTGTACTAGTTGGACTTGGACTGATGCCGATTTATAGTGCTAGCTCACTGAGATACCATGTCGCAGTTTAACATGAATACCCCACTCAGACACAGTATCCTGACTCCGAGCCGACCAGTCCTTGTTTTAGCCCCTTAATGCCGAACGCCAGACAGGGTAACAACAAGTACCATCTTTTAACGTCTTTTGGTATGACGCGGCCGGGTATCGAACCCCGGACCTTCAGCTCTCCGGGCGGATGCTCTACCACTAGACCACAGAGGCGGTCTGTCATGTTATGGAATATATTACCTTGAAACTTTGTTAGGGTATCTTATTTCTCAATAATTTCTGGTATTCTGGTAAGAATATCAAACGTGTTATTAAAAATCTGTTCCCTTTCTTTTTTTATTCAGTATACCATCATCTTTGTGTGTCTTTTTAACATATTTTACATTTTAATGTAGGGTGTGTATTTTGTCATGCTGGGAAAAATATCGCCTTGAGGCACTTTGTTGAGATATCAATATTAAAGTGCAATGAGAAATATGTACATTTGATATCAAGAAAGATAATGCCAGAGTTTACTCTAATAAGATCAATACAATACTCCCTGGTTTCAATCAGGTACACCCAACTCTCCAAGGACTTTGCCTCAATCATCAATGTTGACTCCAAACATTTCATAGATATAAGTCATCAATCTCAATAGAATCAGATCTTAGTTCTCGCTACTGCCATCAGGGTTAGAAACTAACAGTTTTTGTCCACTAGTCCTTATAATGATAGCATATAGCAAAACCCTTAAAATGGGCAAAATTCTACTAGTCCTTAGGATACCTTTACTATTGGGCAGTTTGGTAAGGACTATAGGACTAGTGCCAATTTCTAACGCGGGCCATACTAAGATCTGATTTCCTGATCTGGTAAGCGACACTCTGATTGGTCAGTTGAAAGATCGGTCTGACATTGGGATGTGGGAGTCCTCAGATCTTTGTTTGGTGGTAGCGAGAACCAAGATCTGATCTTAATGTGATAGTAGAAGCCAGTGAATGTTCTTTCCTTGTAAGGCACACGAGCCACGTTTTACATTACATTGTTTACTGAAAGAATGTATTTTCTCAAAATTAACATTACAAGGCATAAATAAATATTATTTCAAACCACACTGTTCTAGGACAATACGACACAGAAGCATACAAAAACAGTCATGTGAAAACAGATACCGTATTCGACGTAATACGCACCCCGCTCTAATAAGCGCCCACGGCGATATTTGCTAATATATTGACTAGTGAACAATCCCAATTAGCACCCCTTCCAATTGATCAATGTACACAAGACTTATTTATTCTCATATAATACGCACTTGTGTGTTATATGCACCCTTAATTATGGTCAATTAAATTCGGGAAAAATATATCTGTCGTATATATAAGAATTTCAGGCTGTCAGCATAAACCATGAAATTTATCTTTTTATTCACAAAAAATATATTCCAATAAAGTCCCCTATTTCTAATTTTGGGAGCGGCCTGTGCGCTTATTACGTCGAATACGGTACCCTTAGGGTACTTGCAGCTGTCATTATTTCAACAACTTGAAGTCATGAATCATTTCGGATGTTTATTCTTTACCCATATGGAAAAGAAAATCCATAAATTAAGCAATAAAATTGGTTCATTCTACACTGAGAAATAACATATTGCATATCATAATATGTGGTCACAAATATGCTGATGTTTCCACATAGCCTTTCTCACAGTCTGTACTGAATGATGTAAAGTCTCCTGATGCATAATAATTCTTTCCTTACAGTATGCAGGTCTATATAAGCGGATAAGTAAAGATGACAGTTTTTTTTAGGACAACTTGTTCTTATTATTTATATAATCTACAAATGATGATATAAACTACTAATTATTGCCTTAGAGACCTGTGCAAGTCTAGTTTCCCCACAACAATGGATGGTATGGAATACGCGGGTTATTTCCTTGAACATGATGAATAACATGACTATGAGAAGCACTTACTTCATCTGTTTCACGATGGTACTTTTCCCTGATTCACCTGCACCTGAAACAAACACATTACTCATTAACAGCTTCCTGGCCCAACAACGTAATTGTCATCATAATATATTTCCTGGTCTGCCTGTGTCTCTTGAGAGAGAGACCATTGCTCATTGGCACATCTGCAATATGTAATATCTTAAAGATATAAATATTAAACATTGGAGACAAAAGGTGAGTGCGAAAAAGTTGTTTTTCCCCATACTCAGCAATATTACCGCCACACAATGTACATATGAATGACGTTGGGATCAGTCCACCTGATGGAAGATAGCATCAAGTTGTTTTTCACCATACTCAGCAATATTACCGCCACACAATGTACATATGAATGACGTTGGGATCAGTCAACCTGATGGAAGATAGCATCAAGTTGTTTTTCACCATACTCAGCAATATTACCGCCACACAATGTACATATGAATGACGTTGGGATCAGTCCACCTGATGGGAGATAGCATCAAGTTGTTTTTCACCATACTCAGCAATATTACCGCCACACAATGTACGTATGAATGACGTTGGGATCAGTCAACCTGATGGGAGATAGCATCAAGTTGTTTTTCACCATACTCAGCAATATTACCGCCACACAATGTACGTATGAATGACGTTGGGATCAGTCAACCTGATGGGAGATAGCATCAAGTTGTTTTTCACCATACTCAGCAATATTACCGCCACACAATGTACATATGAATGACGTTGGGATCAGTCAACCTGATGGGAGATAGCATCAAGTTGTTTTTCACCATACTCAGCAATAGTACCGCCACACAATGTACGTATGAATGACGTTGGGATCAGTCAACCTGATGGGAGATAGCATCAAGTTGTTTTTCACCATACTCAGCAATATTACCGCCATACAATGTACATATGAATGACGTTGGGATCAGTCAACCTGATGGAAGATAGCATCAAGTTGTTTTTCACCATACTCAGCAATATTACCGCCACACAATGTACATATGAATGACGATGGGATCAGTCAACCTGATGGAAGATAGCATCAAGTTGTTTTTCACCATACTCAGCAATATTACCGCCATACAATGTACATATGAATGACGATGGGATCAGTCAACCTGATGGGAGATAGCATCAAGTTGTTTTTCACCATACTCAGCAATATTACCGCCACACAATGTACATATGAATGACGATGGGATCAGTCAACCTGATGGGAGATAGCATCAAGTTGTTTTTCACCATACTCAGCAATATTACCGCCATACAATGTACATATGAATGACGTTGGGATCAGTCAACCTGATGGAAGATAGCATCAAGTTGTTTTTCACCATACTCAGCAATATTACCGCCACACGATGTACATATGAATGACGATGGGATCAGTCAACCTGATGGGAGATAGCATCAAGTTGTTTTTCACCATACTCAGCAATATTACCGCCATACAATGTACATATGAATGACGATGGGATCAGTCAACCTGATGGAAGATAGCATCAAGTTGTTTTTCACCATACTCAGCAATATTACCGCCATACAATGTACATATGAATGACGATGGGATCAGTCAACCTGATGGAAGATAGCATCAAGTTGTTTTTCACCATACTCAGCAATATTACCGCCACACAATGTACATATGAATGACGATGGGATCAGTCAACCTGATGGGAGATAGCATCAAGTTGTTTTTCACCATACTCAGCAATATTACAGCCATACAATGTACATATGAATGACGTTGGGATCAGTCAACCTGATGGAAGATAGCATCAAGTTGTTTTTCACCATACTCAGCAATATTACCGCCATACAATGTACATATGAATGACGTTGGGATCAGTCAACCTGATGGAAGATAGCATCAAGTTGTTTTTCACCATACTCAGCAATATTACCGCCATACAATGTACATATGAATGACGTTGGGATCAGTCCACCTGATGGAAGATAGCATCAAGTTGTTTTTCACCATACTCAGCAATATTACTGCCACACAATGTACATATGAATGACGTTGGGATCAGTCAACCTGATGGAAGATAGCATCAAGTTGTTTTTCACCATACTCAGCAATATTACCGCCATACAATGTACATATGAATGACGTTGGGATCAGTCAACCTGATGGAAGATAGCATCAAGTTGTTTTTCACCATACTCAGCAATATTACCGCCATACAATGTACATATGAATGACGTTGGGATCAGTCAACCTGATGGAAGATAGCATCAAGTTGTTTTTCACCATACTCAGCAATATTACCGCCACACAATGTACGTATGAATGACGTTGGGATCAGTCAACCTGATGGAAGATAGCATCAAGTTGTTTTTCACCATACTCAGCAATATTACCGCCACACAATGTACATATGAATGACGTTGGGATCAGTCAACCTGATGGAAGATAGCATCAAGTTGTTTTTCACCATACTCAGCAATATTACCGCCACACAATGTACATATGAATGACGTTGGGATCAGTCAACCTGATGGAAGATAGCATCAAGTTTTTTTTCACCATACTCAGCAATATTACCGCCACACAATGTACATATGAATGACGTTGGGATCAGTCAACCTGATGGAAGATAGCATCAAGTTGTTTTTCACCATACTCAGCAATATTACCGCCACACAATGTACATATGAATGACGTTGGGATCAGTCAACCTGATGGAAGATAGCATCAAGTTGTTTTTCACCATACTCAGCAATATTACCGCCACACAATGTACATATGAATGACGTTGGGATCAGTCCACCTGATGGGAGATAGCATCAAGTTGTTTTTCACCATACTCAGCAATATTACCGCCACACAATGTACATATGAATGACGTTGGGATCAGTCCACCTGATGGGAGATAGCATCAAGTTGTTTTTCACCATACTCAGCAATATTACCGCCACACAATGTACATATGAATGACGTTGGGATCAGTCCACCTGATGGAAGATAGCATCAAGTTGTTTTTCACCATACTCAGCAATATTACCGCCACACAATGTACATATGAATGACGTTGGGATCAGTCAACCTGATGGAAGATAGCATCAAGTTGTTTTTCACCATACTCAGCAATATTACCGCCACACAATGTACATATGAATGACGTTGGGATCAGTCCACCTGATGGGAGATAGCATCAAGTTGTTTTTCACCATACTCAGCAATATTACCGCCACACAATGTACATATGAATGACGATGGGATCAGTCAACCTGATGGAAGATAGCATCAAGTTGTTTTTCACCATACTCAGCAATATTACTGCCACACAATGTACATATGAATGACGTTGGGATCAGTCAACCTGATGGAAGATAGCATCAAGTTGTTTTTCACCATACTCAGCAATATTACTGCCACACAATGTACATATGAATGACGTTGGGATCAGTCAACCTGATGGAAGATAGCATCAAGTTGTTTTTCACCATACTCAGCAATATTACTGCCACACAATGTACATATGAATGACGTTGGGATCAGTCAACCTGATGGAAGATAGCATCAAGTTGTTTTTCACCATACTCAGCAATATTACCGCCACACAATGTACATATGAATGACGTTGGGATCAGTCCACCTGATGGGAGATAGCATCAAGTTGTTTTTCACCATACTCAGCAATATTACTGCCACACAATGTACATATGAATGACGTTGGGATCAGTCCACCTGATGGGAGATAGCATCAAGTTGTTTTTCACCATACTCAGCAATATTACCGCCACACAATGTACATATGAATGACGTTGGGATCAGTCCACCTGATGGGAGATAGCATCAAGTTGTTTTTCACCATACTCAGCAATATTACCGCCACACAATGTACATATGAATGACGTTGGGATCAGTCAACCTGATGGAAGATAGCATCAAGTTGTTTTTCACCATACTCAGCAATATTACCGCCACACAATGTACATATGAATGATATTGGGATCAGTCCACCTGATGGGAGATAGCATCAAACATCTGTGCTGTCGTGGTACAATGGAACACAAAAAGCTCAGTGACACATCATTCCAACCTGATTTCAACGTTAATATGATGACCTGTTCTGCCTTGAAAAATTCACAAGAAGGCAGGCATGGAGTACTGGGAGCTATTCTGCGCTGAAATACCCACAGGAGGGCAAGCATATGTTACTGAACCTACCCTGCCCCGGACACTCAACACAGAGACACTCAACACAGAGACAAGCAACATGGACTGGAGACCCACTCTGTACCAGACACTCAACACAGAGACACTCAACACAGAGACAAGCAACATGGACTGGAGACCCACTCTGCCCCAGACACTCAACACAGAGACACTCAACATGTACTGGAGACCCACTCTGCCCCAGACACTCAACACAGAGACACTCAACATATACTGGAGACCCACTCTATACCAGACACCCAACATGGACTGGAGACCCACTCTATACCAGACACCCAACATATACTGAAGACCCACTCTATACCAGACACTCAACATGTACTGAAGACCCACTCTATACCAGACACCCAACATATACTGAAGACCCACTCTGCCCCAGACACTCAACACAGAGACACTCAACATATACTGGAGACCCACTCTATACCAGACACCCAACATATACTGGAGACCCACTCTATACCAGACACTCAACATGTACTGAAGACCCACTCTATACCAGACACTCAACATGTACTGAAGACCCACTCTATACCAGACACCCAACATATACTGAAGACCCACTCTGCCCCAGACACTCAACACAGAGACACTCAACATATACTGGAGACCTACTCTATACCAGACACCCAACATATACTGGAGACCCACTCTATACCAGACACTCAACATGTACTGAAGACCCACTCTATACCAGACACCCAACATATACTGAAGACCCACTCTGCCCCAGACACTCAACACAGAGACACTCAACATATACTGGAGACCCACTCTATACCAGACACCCAACATATACTGGAGACCCACTCTATACCAGACACTCAACATGTACTGAAGACCCACTC